TTAGTTTCCATTTGCAAATAAATATGAATGACATGCTGAAGATGTTTGGTTGAATAGAATGAAGTTGGTTTAGTATGGTAATAATGTCAATAAAATAGTAAAATGACTCCAAGGTATTATTTACACGTACATACATACAATTTGTATGCGGCTATTCATTCTATCATCAACAACTACAAGTACAACAAAATATAAACAAATAATAAAAATTAATTTTATTATCATGCAATATTGTATATTTCGTTTGCCACCATAAAATGACGGATAGATGGACTTATGGCAGTATAACTGACTGACTGGATGAATGAATGTGTGAATGGTTATTTGCTTAAATAGTTAGACTTGCTGGATGAATGGTTGGTTGGTTGTTTAGTTTCCAACTTGGTTGGCAATTTGGTAGTGACCAATAAAACTAAATTCAGTTAAGTATGCAACAGCAAACACCAAATAGCGGAAAAACTTTATAAGCATAAAATTCATAATAAAAATTTTTAAAAAGTATAATGGATGAAAAACATAATAAAACATTAGATTCAGCTTTTTTCAGTATTATTTGTTAAAATAGAGAAAACATCGAAATTTGAACGATTCTAAAGAAGGTCAATTAATATTTTAAGTATGTATTTGTACATACATACATATGTATAAATATATTTGGGATAATAACAATTTGTCAAGTTAACTAAGTCCTACAAAGTGTTACAATTAATAACCCTCATGACTTTTCTTTATCATTAAAAGCGGGACTGAGGCAATAAACATAATTTTTATTATTACTTGAAATCAATTCACCCGTATTTTCCCAAACAAATAAAACTCAACTAATACAATATAATCTTAAAATGTTTAAAGAAAGAAAAAGAACAAAACTTTGAACTATTTTATAAATTTAAAGAAAATATAAACGATTGATCTTCAATATAATTTGATGCTCGACTAAAGATCGTGACTTTGAATTTTGGGATTTTACGACAAAAACAAATATTTATCCAAAATCGAGAACATAAAAATTAAACAATTTGCAGCCATTATTTATTAGGAAAACAAAAAATTATGAAAATAAAAGATGACGACAGACGCAAGGATGAAGAGACATTAAGAGTTGTAAATTAAAAAAGACTGTTGACAAATAACAGAAACAATAACAATGTGGAAATGACATTAGTTTTGTTGTAATCTTTTCATAATTCAACAAATTACATAAAAACATACAGTGGGAAATGTTCGTAAGTGTATGTATGTATGTATTTAAAAATTGTATTACAAAAGAAACTTTATTATACAAAATGAAAACATTGACAGCAGGATTTTTATATGCAGGCGCCAAGGGTTCAATTTCTTTTGTTTTCAGAATCCTTTCTTTTGTATGACATTTAAACTTACTATGAAAAAAGGGTTAACATTTCCTTCCCGTTTCCCTTAATGTGACTATTTTTGCATACTCTCACTGACGCAACAACAATAATGTCGTGAGCATAAAGGAAAGATGTCTCAGAGTTGAGAAGTCATTAAGTTTATGACCTGATTTGTTTGATTTTCACACATTTTCTGTCTTCCTGCGTGTATCCAGGTATTGAATCATCATCCATAAAAAATCTTTTTCATGTTGTTACATTTTATTATGCCATGTTTCTTGTTGTTTGCTTTTACTTAAACAAACAACAGGAAGGAAGTGCTCACTTGAACAGAATTATTCAAACTCTCTGCTTAAAGAGTTGCTTGGATGAAAAGACAAGGATGGCAGAAAAGAAGAGAAATCTTAAGACAAGTCATCTTTAGGTAATAAAACATTAAAATTCCTTGTCCATGCTCATCTACAGTTAAATACATAAATGTATGTATATACAGACATGTGTGAGAGTATACATTCATATACAACATACATACATATATAGTACTTATTTATTTATGCATTTAAACGGTAGTTAAAAATTATACATCGTAAATAATGACTTTTTTCCTTTAGACAAATATCGTTAACGCCATTCAGGGTCAAACTTTAAAGGAATTTGTAAGAAAAGAAAATTAGTGGGCATGTTTTCTCTTAAGGCATTTGCGTAATACCTAAACAAATACAATAAAATATATGTAGTATGTATTTACATATAGAATTAAAATGTGTTTCTGTAGTTAGAAAATCAAACCTCTATACATGTGTACATATAGATTTTTTATTTTTATGAACCAAATTACGTCAATGGCAAAGTAGACTTCTTTTCCGTTTGCCTTACAATTGGGGAAATCCAGCAATTAATAATGCAATGAATGAGAAAAATTAAGCAATTAAAATTAATTTGAATTCCCGAACAATGTACGATAGATAACAAGAAATATTGAAAACATAATCAAACACTTTATTTCTGTTAAATCATTGAAGACTTTAGAGGGGCCATATTGTACTGCAAAACTAATGTCCCCATAATTGCCTTAGAATTTGTTTACTATTGAATATCTTCTTTGATTCAACGATGTACGTCTATAGTGTCTAAAATTAAATTTCAACGATTGTAAAAAATTAGCTAATTTTCATAATGATTGATCCTGGACTGACAATCTCATTTTATGTTAATGTTAAACTTCAAAGCAAAATTATTGAAAAACGTTTTACAATTTTGTAATTTAAGAGTTGTGAAAAGAATTGACCATTTAATGGTTTATTTGAAAATTTCTGCCATTAATCAAATATTTTTCAGATATAAAAATTAAACGTTTTCAACATTCATCAAAAACTGATAATATAATAATATTCAATGGTTAATAAAACAAACTTATACTTTGGTATAAAAAACCTTTAAAAATTAGTATGAATAGGATTTTAGGTTTTTATATTTATAAATTCATAACATTTAAATTTATTTAAAAAATAATCTTATTCTATTGTTGAATTGATATCTAGATGGAGCCACTGCAAATTCTTTTGTTTTCATTTGGCTCCAAACCAAACAAATTGTACAATCTATATCGAGCCTGAGATACACACATGTACACGCACCAAATAAACCTTAAGATACATACGCACACACTTGCACAATTATGGACACGAACATGAACATTTTATCAATAAGTTAAAGAATAAAAAAAATTACAATGTTTTGTTGAACTATGAAATACGTGTGGAAGTGTGTAACTGAGTATGCGCATAGAGAATTATTTAGTAGAATTTTTAAATTTAATAAATTAAAGATTCTTTTTATTTTGTATTACATATTTTATTTTGTATTATGTTTTTTTGGAAATCATATTTCTAGAGTCATAAGAGTTTTGAAAATGTTGTATCCATTGGATACTTATTCATTCTTACGTACTCTTTATGTACGTAATCGTTGTCGTAATTCTCTTTAATTCACACGGATTCATAGATGGAGTCACACGTATAGTGTCTGTGTATACATGTGCCTTGTCAAAGAGAGAAAATTTTCTTTGAAATACAATTTATTCAAATTTAAATTTCATCCACCTTACATGCGAAACACTAAATATACTCATACTCCCAGTACAACTTGTATTTCAATATTTTGTGGATACTTCTGAGCGCAGCAACAACAACAACGACTAGATACAAATTTTTATAGTTAAAGAAAGCAAAAAAGAGCGCTTGTGAGCTCAAACTAATCGCTACTACCACCACCAAAGAGCAGCACGTTATCAAACTCATGAACGTATGTACGTGAATAGTGAGAATTATTTATTGATAGAATATTTTTCAAAAAGTTTGTTTTGTTTATATCCACTAGATTGTGTTGTATGCACGTTGGAGTATATGTGTGTGCCTCCGCTTTTTCAACATTTTCAAGAGTATCTTTGAGTACGTTTTGTTAGAAACAAACGAGTTTCTTTTATTTTTTCAATTTTCTAAACTCTCCTGGCTGCGAGAAAAACAAACGTGACGAATTTTCCTTTATTCTAAGTGTTGTAAGTGCGCGCTTCTTGACTTTAGTTGAACGGACGTTTAACTAGTATCTGTGTGTATTTTCCGTCTGTCCGCCTGTGTGTATGAGTAGTGGATGGATGGTTGATTGGAATACGTTGCTTCAACATTGTGTTGTTTGTGTTTTCAGTCGTGTGTGTGTATGAAGACATTTTCAGTTTGTGTATGCGGACAAAAGAATCTCTGTTGTCAGTGTAGATTTGTACTCCGCTGCGTACGGTACAAGGCACACGGCATACAAAATTCAAAACAATCATTTCTTATATTTGTGACAACTTAATACAAAGTCAAAATAAAAAAACAACACATACTACAGTAAAACAAAAAAATCTTATTGTGTGCGCTACAAGCAAGAAAAACCAAAAACAAATTTAATTTTGAAAATTCAACATTGGAAACGGAATAAAGAAAATTGAAAATTTCTAATTAGAAAAAATTGTGAAGTGTGCCTCAAAAGAAAAAATATTTTAAATTAAACATTAAATCACAGAATACAATAAATGTGCAATAAAACTTAATAAAAACAAAAATAAAACAATTAAAAATTGTTTTAAACTCGAAACATACTCAAATATTTTTAAGTTTATGGTTTATTTGAAGATGGAATTAAATACTATAGAAGATTTCAAAAATTAAAATTAAAAAAACAATTTAACTAAATCAACATTGTGCTTTCTTATTTTATTTTATTTACTCCCCAAATTCCCCATCACATTTGACTGCCTTAAAAATAAAACAACAATAACAACATCACCTGCCTATTTGCAACATGGAATACTTCTTCTTGTGCTTTTCCCTCGTCATAAAACGAACATAAATTTCGTTTTTATGGAACCGGCATTTTTTGTGCAAAAATAAACTGAAATAATTAAAAACTACTACTACAATAAAACAAAAACTGTGTTAAATCATAACAAAACGTCATCATCGACATCCAAACAAACAACAAAAATTATTATAAAAAATTATTATTTGTTTTGATCGTAAAATGGAATTTTATGGCCCTTTAAAATACCACCACCAACAACAAAAATAAATACAATAAAAATTATAACAATACAACAACCAAATATCAATAAAAACAAAATAAAACCAAACGCCAAAACTTTTTAAAAATCATAAAAAAAACTATTTTTAATACAAATTGATTTAAAAAAAATTAATTTAACAAAATTATAAACACCCTGTGTTTGGATTTTCTCTTAAACCTTTTAATACAAAAAATCTTAAATTTTGATCGAACTTTATAAAAAATTTTATTTGCAACGAATTTCTTTATTCGCATTGAACCAAATACTCTTCATCTAAAAATCGACTTTACTCTTTGTTTCATTCTAATAAATGTTCTCTTAAACCCAAAAAAATCTAATTCAAACCACCACCATAAATACGTTGTCATTCTACACATGAACACTGTATGTGTGACTACTGAAATGTGTGTAAATGTGTCCACTGCAAACCCTCTGGCGTACGTGAAACGTATACAAATAAATTTATTTTAAACAATTTAATTTAAAAAAAAAAAAAACTAAAAAACTCTCGAAAAAACACAAAAATCGTTACGTATTTGTTGGAAACTTTTAATCTTTGTTTTCATTATCTCGTGTTATTTCTTTAAATATTGCAACGCGTTATATAATATTTTTTAAAATTATTGATTGCGCGCGTACGGTTTAATTTAAATCGCGTTCAAAATAACCGTAAATATTCCACCCCTCCCCCAAACCCCAACCATCCCGCTGGCGTGCGCTCTTTACGACCCCCACGATGTCTCGGCAGTCGGGTCGCACGCCGCTGCCGGGGCTTGGTGGGGGCCACATCATCACGCTACTCCACATCCATCCACAACTGCTGCCACTGCCGCCCTTAATCACCATCAAACGGCAACTGGGACGACGCATCATCATCAACAATTGCATCATCCGGCTCATCACGCACATCCGCATGCCCATGCGCATTTGCATCCACATCATCAACCGCATCTGCAACATCATCACCTGCACCACCAACAACAACAACACAATTCCTCCTCGGCGGGTTTGGCATCTTCGAATGCATCATCTGCCTCCTCATTGTTGGGTACGGAATCGTCACTGCAACAACAACAACAAACATCACAACAACAACAATCCTCAACACAACCAACCACACATTCCACACCTACTCATGCGGTTATGTATGAAGATCCCCCGCCTGTTCCTATAGTTCAACAACAACAGCAGCAGCAACAACAACAACAACAGCAATTACATCTCCCGCATCAACAACAACAGCAAACAAGTAGTCAACAGTCCCACAATAACGTTGATACTACTCCCGTTGGTTGTCTTAGTCCCTCAGAAACACCTGCAGGTCCTGCACCACAATCTCAGCAGCATTTAACATCACCTCATCATCAGCAACAACAACAACAGCAGTCAAATACAGTACCCTCCAGTGCTCCTAGTATTCAACAGCAACAACAGCAGCAGCAGCAACAACAACAGCAACAAAACACAGCAGTGGCGTCCGGCCAGACACTAATTGTTACGCCGACAGCGGCGAGTGTTTCCCCATCCAGTGTTAGTTCCCAACCTCCAGGTGAGTTCAAATGAATATAAAGATTTTTAGTTTCTTTTTTATTTTTTTTTTTTAAATTTACGTTTAAAAAATTAAATTAATTAAAGTTTAAAAATTGCTTTCTAGTAATAATTCAATTAGAATTTCAAGAAATTAAAAAAATATCTATTTAAAAACATATTCAATAAATTTTTTTCTAATTTTTAAAAAATAAGTGCTTTTTTTGTAATTTTGAACAGAAGCATATTTAGAACATTTTGTATATACAAAATTTAAATCTGTTTCATATTAAAAAATGTTCATCTCAATAATTAAATTTTATTTTATAAACGATTTATAAATCAAATTTTGTATGGAAATTTTGTTTTATAAACCATTTTTAAATTAAAATGTGGGCAATTGTATATTTGCAGTAACATCCCAGCAAAAATAAAGCGAAGTACTTCCAAAAGAAGAACATTTATCACCACTTCAAAAGTAGAAATAAGTGATTTTTTTTACCTTCTGTGGAAGTGATGTTTAATGACTTCCGAAGAAGCGAAAATAATTTTATTTTTTCAATGCTAACGATATGTATATTTTTTGCTCTTACATTTTTATGAGATAAAAAATTTTATTTTTGGGCTTCCGTATTAAATTTGTCTATTACCCTTATTAATTTTATATTATTTAAGTCAAATTACTTGTAATCTATAATACTACAATTATAGAATTGTAGAAAGCATACTTCTTGAGAATGACTTCAGAAGTAGTAAATTTGGAATCAAATAAAAAGGACATCCTTCCTATGACAAGCCTGTGTTAAAATCATCACTTCTTCGATATCGTCTACCGAAAATATAAGGCCTTTTTCAAAAATTTTAATTAGTTTTTCTAAATATTTTTATTTTGTGGTTACTGTAATATTAAATTAAAAATTTTCTTAAAAAAGTTTTGATTTTCGAAATTTCTTGTAGTTACAAATGTAACGATTAATATCAAAAATAAGTATTATTTGAATTTCATTTTGCCAATTTGTTTTATAAAATAAAATGTTGTTCATGAATAAGGGGCAATTTCTTAAAAAATTTCTTTTAAAATTTTAATATGATTTTTTAGTTTAAATAATAAAAAATATAAGCAAAATAATAAGATTGTTAAATATTTACCTTGAGATCTTTGAGAAGTTCAAAAGAGTTAATCATCATTTTCCGTAATAAATAAAAAAATCCAAATAATATAAGAAAAAAATGTAGAGATAATTATATTTAATTAAAAAAGTAATAATTTTAAAATTACATGTTATTAAAGTACCTTTATCAAAATGATAAATTACTAAAAGCTACATTTTGCAAGTTATTGACGTGTATTTGTTAATTATTTTAACGTATAACAATTATAACTTTAAAATATACAACTTTAAATACAATCATCAAAACTGCAACCCATTTTTATTTTATAACATTTATTTCAATGTCTGCAGTAATTTTTTATTATTCAAATATATTTTTCTTCAATTACGAAGATGGACCTTGAAAGAGGGCATGCTAACGAATCAAAATAATTTAATAATGAATTAAAAAAATTAAAATAGTTTAAACACAAAAAATTGATTCTTCAACAATACTAGTTAAAATTTTAAATTATTATTTTCTATAATCCAACATAATATAATAAATTGATTTAAACATTTACGACTTATTAAGAGTGGATCCATATAATTATATAATATACAAAAACGAGTTTGTTTTGGCAAATTTTGGTATACAAAAGCATTTCTACCATAAACATTTCATAAACGATCCGATAACAATTTTATGTCGATAATTAAGTATGAACTTACATATATAGAGGATCACGTTTATCGATCCTATTACCCATGTTAAGAATTTGATGATAGAGATATTTAAAGGATCAGAATATCATTAAATTATTAAAATTAGTTCTTTAAATTTTATTTTCTTTAAACAAACTAAAATTTCCTGAGTTTTTAAGTGACTATTCCAAATAGACAACTAAAATATTTGTTATATATTTTTCTTATTTCAGATATGTCCCTCTCATTAGCACCATTGCATATACCCGCGATAAGGCCAGGTTTTGAAGCCGACGCTGCCAGTGCAGCCGTTAAACGGCATCCTCATCCGGCATGGCCGTATGAAAGTGATGGCTTCAGTTCAGCGCAATATCATCATGCATCGCAATACTACTTAGAAAGAGATCGTAAGCCTGTATTCTATGGTTATCCAGAAACGCAATTTCAGGTAAATATCTACAAAATTAAAGCCGCTTCTATTATACAATACATACAAAAATTACAAATACTAAAATTGTTCAATTTCATTGTTAAATAATATAATTTATTAAAATTTACTATATTATGCATTTATTATTTTCCAGCCTTATTGGAATTACCGCGAACAACCCACATCCGCTGCAGCTGCGGCCTACATGAGTGCTAGCGATGATAGACATGCAACGGTTAGTGCTGCTGCTGCAGCCAGACAATCGGTAGAGGGAACCTCACAGTCAAGCTATGAAACGCCAACTTATTCTTCGCCTAGTGGTTTACGAGCGTATCCAAGTGAAGCATATTCAAGTACAGGTAAGTTATACATTCTAAACTCAACATTAGACTGTTGAAAAATTAGAATAATCTTAAGAGTATTTGCTAAGTAGAATGGTGTATTTGGCATACATGAGATTGCACAGTAGGATTTCGCAGTAGCAATTGTAAAATTAATTGATTTATGTGTATGTATGTTTTCTTACTCATATGAATTTAATTAAAAACTTCACTGTCTGCATTTCTTCTCATTCATTAGAATTCATTGAAATGCTAAAAGGCAAAAATAATATTTCATATTTACAGCAGATTACCACGTTTTATGGTTGATTGTCATGCAATATTCAATTAGCACCTTTTTAAATTTTGTTCTTTCAAATGCAACTTAAATAAAAGTTGGGGGCAACAAATGGCGCGAATTTCAGAAAATACATATTTCTTTTCTTTGTGGGAATATATACATATAAAAAATTATGAAAGATTTGTCACGTTTAGCTATAAAATTTAATAATTGTTGGAAAAAGAAGGAACAATGGAAGAGACGAAAATAAAAACGTTTAAAAAGTATTAAACATTTTAACTAGCTTAAAGTCCAATGTTGTCATTGTTTGATAAAAAATTTAAGTTTAGCTAGTTTAAAATAAATTTAAATATTTTCATTATTTTTCGAAATAAATTTATTTTATAACAATATTATTTTAATTGTATTATTTTTATGATTTATTACTAATAAAGCTTAAAAAATAACGCCAGTATCCTTTTTCAAAACAGCAAAGCTGGTTGTAATAGCCCTCGTTACAAGTGTAAAGATTTTAAGTGACTTTCTGGTCAAATTTGCTTGTAGTAGGAGCCCGTATGTGCACCTAAATGCAGTCTTAAGCTTAATGTCTAAGCGTGGGGTTTAAAAATTACTATATAGATTGAGTTGATTTATACTGATCGTAAAATCAAACTGTATAGTGACACTTAATATTTTATAGCTTGTATTTTGTATTAATTGCTTATTAAAATATTATTAGAAAATATAAAAATATACTTAAAATTACCTGTTGTCTATTAGTCATTTATATTATTTTTCTAAATTTTGCAGGTGGTTCTGGTGGTTTATCTGTCGGTGCAGTTGGACCCTGTACACCCACCAATGCTTTGCATGAATGGACCGGTCAGGTTTCTGTACGAAAAAAGCGTAAACCTTATTCGAAATTCCAAACCTTAGAGCTAGAGAAGGAATTCTTGTACAACGCCTACGTGTCCAAACAAAAACGATGGGAATTGGCCAGAAATTTAAATTTGACCGAAAGACAGGTATGTTTTTATTCGAAAGAATCATCCCCAAAATTATAAATATTTAACAAAAAATTTTTTCCACGTGTTTAGGTGAAAATTTGGTTCCAAAATCGTCGCATGAAAAACAAGAAAAACTCACAACGTCAAGCCAATCAACAAAACAACAACAATAGTTCAAATAGTAATCACAATCACAGTCAGGCAGCCCAACAGCATCACAATAATCATCATTTGGGTTTGGGTTTGAGCATGGGTCATCATGCCACAAAAATGCATCAGTGACCTTTGGATAACAGCAGTGCTGGCACCATGGGATTTCCAACTTACTAACATTTAGCCAATATTAAAACGGAAACGTTTACCGAATTTTAGTTCCACAAACACACACACACATATACCCGGAAGACAACCAAAACCAAGAACTCTGCCCCATACTTACAGTTGCAACCAGTTTGCTGAAGAAATTATGAACTGAATACTAAAGAAATCTGTATAAAACTTGAAACCTTAGTCCCAAATTGTAGTTATTACAATGTCAGACACTGTTGTTGTCTACTCTTTAAATGAAAACATTACTACAACCAATCATTAGTTCATTTATACATACACAGATACAGACAGACATGCATACATTCATAAGTAAAAATTTTATAAATGTATGTTAGATTGACTTTTGTACACTCATTGATACATACATACATCAATATAAACATTTAGATACATTTGTGTATATGTATACATATAAATATTTAAAGATTTTATACAAAAATATAAACTAAGTAGAAATTTAAATATTCATATACATACACACTCTCTCACTCTCATCATCAATCCAAAACACATTTATTCATTCATACATAAATAGATTTAAACAAAATTTTTGCATTGTATCTCATAAATACTAAAAAAACAACAACAATTTGTATGCAAAATTAAAACACACACTCAAACACTCAACTCATTTTGAAAAATTTTTTAAAAGTTAATATTTAACCCAAATACAAAAATACTATATTTGAGAAAAATTTGCAAAACTAAAAGAGATAAAATTATATAAAATGATCAAATTTTTAACTTGAAGGAAAAAAATTAAAAGAAATAATTTTAAGAAAATTTAAATAATTGTTTTTAAAAAATTAATGAAATCTAATCTATATGTATTAGACTAACTAATATAGAATTTGTTTAAAATCAGACAAATGTTAAAATTAGAATTTGTTTTAAAAAAAATTGTTTTTCATAGTGTGCAAAAGATTAAGTGGTTCGATATAATAACAAAATAATAAAATACTGTTTGTCTTTTTGAACACAGGATAAAAGTTTACCACTAGGGCCTAGAGTAATCCGCTATTTACACGAGATAATTCACATATTCGTATGCAAAATACGATTGTTAATATCGATTACAAAACAAGTGAAATTCATGTTGCATGAGTAACTTAGTTGTCTGAAAATCATTTGCCACATGTTCTATATATGTCGACCACTGCAAATATTAGTTTACATACCAACTGTTCAAATATATGATGATATATGTATGTTTATTTAATCTTTAATTGCTTTATTAAGATTAAATAAAAATCTATGTTGTAATTTTGTCCATAATGTATACTTGTTTTGTTAATTAAATATTTTAATTGTGATCATGCTATTTTATCAAACATTTGATCATTGGTTGGAGCCTACATTTGGTTTAAAAAGATTTAGTATAAGACAAAACCTAATCAATAATATATTCAGTTTTTAACTTTCTATTATCAAAAGTTTATCTTTATGAGAGTTACTTAACCCTACTTAAATGTATTCTAATGCAATATTTTTCACAAAAAGAATATATTTTTAAAGATTTCAATCAAATTCGGGAATCATATTTTTAGACAGATTCTATACATTATTATGAGAAACTTTAAACAATTCTTTTAACTAAAACACAAAAAATGAAAAGGTATGTTTACAAATAATTAGATTTCATTAATAAATTGTTTTCTTTCTAATTAACAATAATAAATATATAAAAATATAATAAGTTCCTGTAAATACTTAAGATAAAATAAATATTTACTAAATTAAAAAGAGATCAAATTGTAAAATAATTTCATTTAAAACATGCTTTAATGTAGTAAAAACAAAAACAAATACTTAAATATTAATAAAAAAAATAAAAAACATAAACAGTCCAAAATATTCATAAAAAAATATTTAATTAACAAAACACAATATAGTTGATAAATAAAAGTAAAATTTACTTAAAATATTTGATGTGTGTCTGTTTTACTCAATACAAAATGATGGCTTAAAAATAAAAAAAAAAAAATAAAAAAAAAATATTAAAAATAAAGTTTAAAAAAAAATCAAGAAAATGAAAAAGCATAGCATTAGAAAGGCTTCATTATAAATAAATTTATATAATGGTGGCAAATACAACAAAAATTAAATTAAAAATAACAAAAATTTATTAGTTTTTAATAAATACAAAAAATATAAAATCTTGTAAAACAAAGTAAAAATATTTAATAATCGTAAATTTATAATTAAAATAATTAATACTTAATTGAACAACTTGTCCTCTAAATAATTATGTAGTTCTATTTGTAATTATAATTATAATTAAAATAATGTATTAAAATTTTGTTATTGTATATGAGTTGTATTTCTTTTATAATTTTTAATTTTTAATCTTTGAGCTTTTATTTTAAATTCATATTTTTTTAATTTAAAATTATATTTTTAATTATTATAACGCCTTAATTAAGTTTAGACAAAAAGTAAAACTCATCATCTCATTTTAATCTAAATAGTTTAAATAAATATATTAAACAAAAAACTGTTTATTATTATCTTTGTTGTTTATAATTTAAATTATTTCTTTTTAAATAAAATTTATTTTTATGTTAATTATTCATTTGTTTCTTGCTTTAATAAATCATTAATTAATTGGTAGCTGTTTAGAAAAAATAATTGTCAACGATTCTTTTTTAAAAAGTTTTTATTTTAATCATTTTATTGTGTATACACTTTTATATATGAAATGTTTGCTTAAATTAAAAATTATTATTTACTTTTTATACAAAAAAAAATACAAAACGAATACATAGTTGTTTAAAAATTGTCACATAAAAAATAATAAAATTAAAAAAAAAAAACAAAAATAATTAATAGAATAGTCTTAGTTTTATTGTATCCCCTCTCCTCCCTTTAAAATGTAAGATAAAACTTGAATTAATTATTGCTACTCGTATTAGTTAATAATAAATGAATAATAATCGATATTACAAAAAAACTTCTGATATTCGTATGCAGAAACAACAAAAACAAAAAAATAAATTAAATTACAAAAAAAAAAATAAATTTACAAAAAATTCTAATTGTTCATAATTTTTCCAAATTGTCCACTAAAATCTTCCCTTCCAATTAAAATATTAGGTAAGTACCCAATTCCCAAGTTAATAGATTCCTCCATCTCATTTGGCACATTTATCACAAACATTAATGCAACCATTTTATTGTGAAATTATTTCATAATTCATTTCATAACAGTAAATTGAAAATTGTTTGGAGCTGTGATCACCTGTTAGTCAGCAGTATGAACTTTTATGTATATTGTAATCATTTTAGAAGAAACCTAAAAACCACAACCTCTCTCACTAACGAATTTACATAAATAAAAAAGAAAATAAAATATTTAATTAAATAATACAGAAACACTGATAGCAATTGTCTATCGAAGTACTACTTACATTTAAATACCACAATATAATCCCTCTTGCCCCATTTCAATCATTAAACTCATTGGCTTGGAAATTTAAATATTTTTATTTCAATTAATTAAATGTTTTAAATAAATGTATCATAGAGTGTAACAGCTTCACACTGTGAAACAAAGTTAATAAAATGTAAATAAAAAATAAAATTTAATTAAATAAGCATTTAAATTATAAATAATTTTAATAACATTTTAATTAAGACTTAAATTCAATACTATTCGTAATAGCATAAAAGAAAATACTTATTAATTAAATAAAATAATTAAATATTTGGGGGTATTGTTGTTTAATTGTTTCAACTTTCACCACTTTAAGTATTAAAATCCCTTCCGGAGCCGAGTTGGCGATAGTGGTATGTGTGCTCGAGTAACCGTTGATATCAAAGTATATGTCGCATTGATCCGAATATTTTAATAAATTTTAATACACTATCGAAAATCGCTCCAACATATATAACATAAAATATATGATTATTTCAGTAATAACTAGTTCTAAAACAACTTCCACTAAATGTTAAACCTACCAAATTCGAAAACTTTTTAATCGTTGTTATATTCAGAACCAATTGACCAATTACAAAATAAAATTTTGGATTTGAATAGGCTAGTAATAGAAAATATGGAAGAAATAATTTAACAAAAATTGGCAAATATTTTGCACAAATATTGCCATAAAATTCTGAAACTTTCTAGTAATAATATATATATGTATGTATAAATAATTAGGATTTATACTGTGTTTTGTTTTTGTTTGCTTATTGTTTTGTATAAGCATGCACGAAAAAAGAAAATTGTTGATGAAATTTTCAGAGGTGGTCTCGGATTTTTACTCATATCTTCGTTATTTATGGGCCGATTGGGCTGATTTTAAATAGCGTTCTATTCGATCGTATTTTCGATAGAATTATTGAAAATTCGGATCTCGCAGATATCCGGGGTCTTCTGAAAACTGATTTCAACATACACACAGACAGACGGACATGGCTAAATCGACTCCGCTATCTATAAGGATCCAGAATATATATACTTTATAGGGTCGGAAAATTATATTATAGAAATTACAAACGGAATGACAAACTTATATATACCCTTCTCACGAAGGTGAAGGGTATAAATATACACAGAAAAAACTGAAAATGTGTTTTAATTATCAAATTGATTGTATCAAGCAAGTTTTGCACCTATCAACAAAATGATGATATCAATTATGAAATTTGTAAAAAAATATTTTTTTCCAATTAAAGAAATAATCAAAACAATTAACATCAGTAATTAAATTCAAAATTTAAAATTAGTTAATTCATTAATTGGATAAATTAAATTTTAATAAAATAAAACTTACATTTTAATTAGTTTATTAATCAAATAAATTGAACAGTTTGGTTAAAAATGTATTAAAAATCAATAAAGTCGATGATTGAAACAATCAAAGCATTAATTGAATGCTTACAACATTAAAGGATTCCTTAACCTTTAACAATGCGTTAAGCACTCTCAAAAATATCTCTTTATTGTCACATTTGAACAAATAAAGTGATTTATAAATTTTAAAATATTTATGAAACTTCAACTTCTTATGCCTAAAATATTATTGACTATTTGAGAATTATTTTCCGTTATAAATAATGAAATTATTTAAATAAAATATCGAAACAAAAAACCAAAATAAAAAAGTAGGCTGGAAAAACTTTTTCAGCCAATTAAAAAATTAATTGATTCAATTAAAAGTTTAATCAAATTTGTATACTTAGGATCAAAACAATGAGATAATTATGACAATTAAAAAATTGTTTAAATAAAAGTTAAAGAAAGAGGAAAACATCTTAATTGAAAATAAACTACCGATAATTTTTTCTGTGTAGAAAAAATCAATAATAATTTGTTTTATTTTTATACCCTTCACCCTCGTGAGAAGGGTATATATAAGTTTGTCATTCCGTTTGTAATTTCTATAATATAATTTTCCGACCCCATAAAGTATATATATTCTGTATCCTTATAGGTAGCGGATTTGATTAAGCTATGTCCGTCCGTCTGTCTGTCCGTCTGTTTGTCCGTCCGTCTGTCTGTCTGTCCGTCTGTGTGTTTGTTGAAATCAGTTTTTAGAGGACCCCAGATAACGGCGAGATTCAAATCTTCAATAATTCTGTTAGACATGCTTTCGAGAAGATCGCTATTTAAATTCAGCCAAATCGGTCCATAAATACTGGAGATATGAGCAAAAATCCGAGACAACCTCTGAAAATTTCATAAAAAAGTCAATTTTTTTTGCTTTGATATAAGCAACAACAACAACACTGCTTATTCATTGAGTATTTCGTTTCATATGTTTGGATGGCTGTTTGTTTCATTTCCTTGTATATATTGTTTTTGTTTCTTGGTGCATTCAATTTCGTATGTTTGGATGTGTGTTGTTTTCTTTGCGTTGTGTATTTTGTTTTTGCTTTTTTGTGAGTATTTCGTTTCGTATGTTTCATTGCCTTGTGTATATTGGTTTGTTTTTTGGTGTATTCAGTTTCGTATGTTTGGATGTCTGTTGGTTTCATTGCGTTGTCTATTTTGTTTTTGGATGTCTGTTGGTTTTACTCAGTAAAATTTACTGCCTTGTGTATTTTGTTTTTTTGTGTGTTTATTTCGTTTAGCGTTGTTGTTGTTCGTTTTGCTATTGCCCTGCAAACAATTGCTATCTAAATAGTATCCATAACGTAACAACGTGTAGGTAAAAATATCTAAAAAACATCTAATATTGCACAATTTGAATTGAAGAAAAGTAACCGCGTTGGCAAGAAACTGTCCTCCTGTTTAATACTTACTTAGTGAGTCGATTTCGTTTCAGTTTTAAGTCACTTTTTTATAGCATAAAAGTGCGTAAAATTAGTAAAATTTCCAGTTTTGCCATGGCAATAGGGAAACTGGAAATTTATCTAATTTTACACTACTTTATGTAGTAAAAGCGACTTTATAATAAATTTTCTTTATTTCTCTTACTTTATGAATAATTTAAAATTGTTTATACTCACTAATCTCTCACTTATGTTTATTATACCCTTCACCTTCGTGAGAAGGGTATATATAAGTTTGTCATTCCGTTTGTAATTTCTATAATATAATTTTCCGACCCTATAAAGTATATATATTCTGGATCCTTACAGATAGCGGATTCGATTTAGCCATGTCCGTCTGTTTGTCTGTGTGTATGTTGAAATCAGTTTTCAGAAGACCTCAGATATCTGCGAGATCCGAATTTTCAATAATTCTATCGGAAATACGGTCGAATAGAACACTATCAGCCCAATCGGCCCATAAATAACGAAGATATGAGTAAAAATCCGAGTAAAAATCATCAAAAATTTACTTTTTTCGTGCATGCTTATACAAAACAATAAACAAACAAAAACAAAACACAGTATCAAACGGTAAAATTTTTTTGTCATTTGTTATTGTAATTCTTGTTTATAAACACAAAGCAAAGAATGAACTTCACGTTACGTTGTTATTGGCTAGAAACATGAAATTAAATATGTAGAGCCTGGATTAGGCGAGAACACATTAAAGGGCACTTTTTGGTACTTTTTCGTTCTACAAAAGGTACTTTTGAATTTTCTATAATATTGAACCTAGAAACATGAAATTAAGTATGTAGAGCCCGGATTAGGCCAGAACACATAAAAGGGGACTTTTTGGTACTTTTTCGTTCTACAAAAGGTACTTTTTGAATTTTCTATAATATTGAACCTAGAAACATGAAATTTAGCATGGAGGGCCTTGACTAGGTAAGAACCTATAAAAGGGGACTTTTTGGTACTTTTTCGTTCTACAAAAGGTACTTTTTTAATTTTTTATAATATTGAACCTAGAAACATGAAATTAAGTATGTTGAGCCCGAATTAGATCAGAACAAGTAAAAGGGGACTTTTTGGTACTTTTTCGTTCTACAAAAGGTACTTTTTGAATTTTCTATAATATTGAACCTAGAAACATGAAATTTAGCATGTAGGACCTTGACTAAGTAAGAACCTATAAAAAGGGATTTTTTGGTACTTTTTCGTTATACAAAAGAATTTTCTATAAAATTGAACCTAGAAACATGGTATTAAATATGTAGAGCCCGGATTAGGCCAGAGCACAAAAAAGGGGACTTTTTGGTACTTTTTCGTTCTACAAAAGGTACTTTTTGAATTTTCTATAATATTGAACCTAGAAACATGAAATTAAGTATGCTGAGCCCGAATCAGGTCAGAACAAATAAAAGGGGACTTTTTGGTACTTTTTCGTTCTACAAAAGGTACTTTTTGAATTTTCTATAATATGGAACCTAGAAACATGAAATTTAGCATGTAGGACCTTGACTAAGTAAGAACCTATAAAAAGGGATTTTTTGGTACTTTTTCGTTATACAAAAGGTACTCTTTGAATTTTCTATAATATTGAACCTAGAATCATGGTATTAAATATGTAGAGCCCGGATTAGGCCAGAGCACAAAAAGGGGACTTTTTGGTACTTTTTCGTTCTACAAAAGGTACTTTTTGAATTTTCTGTAATATTGAACCTAGAAACATGAAATTAAGTATGTAGAGCCCGGTTTAGGCCAGAACACATAAAAGTGGACTTTTTGGTACTTTTTCGTTCTCCAAAGGGTACTTTTTGAATTTTCTATAATATTGTACCTAGAAACATGAAATTTAGCATGTAGGGCCTTGACTAGGTAAGAACCTATTAAAGGGGACTTTTTGGTACTTTTTCGTTCTACAAAAGGTACTTTTTTAATTTTCTATAATATTGAACCTAGAAACATGAAATTAAGTATGCTGAGCCCGAATTAGGCCAGAACAAATAAAAGGGGCCTTTTTGGTACTTTTTCGTTCTAAAAAAGGTACTTTTTGAATTTTCTATAATATTGAACCTAGAAACATGAAATTTAGCATGTAGGGCCTTGACTAGGTAAGAACCTATAAAAGGGGACTTTTTGGTACTTTTTCGTTCTACAAAAGGTACTTTTTTAATTTTCTATAATATTGAACCTAGAAACATGAAATTTAGCATGTAGGGCCTTGACTTGGTAAGAACCTATAAAAGGGGACCTTTTAGTACTTTTTCGTTTTACAAAAGGTACTTTTTGAAATTTCTATAATATTGAACCTAGAAATATGAAATTAAGCATGAAGAGCACGGATTAAGTTAGAACGTATAAAATGGGATACAATTGGTATTTTTTGATTTTTTTGTAATAAAATTCGTACTGACTGTTTTTTAACACATCATGGTGAAGGGTATATAAGATTCGGAACAGAATATAGTACTCGTACTTGTTATATATTAAATTTATTTTTTATATATTAAATTTTAAATAAAATCATTACAAAATTTCACAATGTGTTACTATTCACACAACTGATCACTATAAACTTAATATATTTACTGAAATATACAAACACTTTTTCTTTTAAATTTTGAGAGCAAAAATAATTCTGTCTTAAATTATCTTGTTAGTGTATTAAAAAGTGTTCTTTTTATACATTTTTATTCTATCTAATTATTATCATTTACGTTTCTTTTTGGTATATTAGATCGAACTTAAATTTTACAAAAATGGGATAAAAATTAGAAAATAATAAGGGTTTTCATTTAAACGATTAAGTTTCCCATTTGTGCATGTAGGCAAACTTATTTTATGAATGCCCAAAGAAAGTAAAAAGAGGAAATTATTGGATTTATTTGATGAATCCGTTGTTGGCGATTTAGGGCCAATCTTTAGGTAAAAGATTAGCGATTAAATTAAAATTAAACCTCGAAAGATGTTTTTGAGTACTCAATTAGTTAATTTTGTTTGCAAGTTTAAGCGCCCAATGGAGGTGGTTTAATCTTAAGCACGAAATGCAAAAGTGTAAACAGCTGATGCAAAAAAATTAATAAAATTATTATAAATATAAACATTAAAATGTTCTATTTATTGATTAGTATAAATTATGGACACTTCAAAATACATTTTTTTGTTTTTAATTTAAGTTTTCATTAATTTTCATATTAAATTTACAATTGTCTTCTTCTTTTTATAAAATATGCATTGTTTTGATAAGAAACAGTGAAGTTTTCTGTTTTTTTGTATGGCAACACTGCGAAGTTTAATCTTGTACTCAAAAACATCAAAGGGGATTAACATAAGATTAAATTTATTTTTAGATTAACTAATCTGATTATTAATTGGCATTTGATTACCATCTCAAAAACCCGGTCTTAATGTTATTGGAATTTTTTGGAGCAGACAATGGTTAGCACATTTGTTTTATACCCACATTAAAAGATATGTTGATTTTGTCGTTCTGTATATGTAATCAAGGTCCTTATAATATTCTATGGCGATTTAGCTAATATTCCAAGCTAATATGTATTCCTTTTACTAGTTTTTTTATTACCATTAATAATTTTGTAGATCAAAAACGCAAGAAAGTAGATGAAATTTTAGAAGATTTTGCATGTGTCCTTGCAGTTGGAGAACATTTTCGGTATGCCTTGCCGCTTGTTCACCATTCAGTTCCAAAGTCATACAATTTGTTATCGAATGTTTTGCCTTACTTGGATGAAACCAGATTTAAACAAATTGCGCGCGTCAGTAGACGAAGTTTTAATTTTATATTAAATTTAATAAGAAATGATGAAATTTTCCATGGAGTGCGTTCATGCAAACAATTTCCAGTAGAAACACAACTAATAATTGTTCTATATCGATTGGGTTCAAGTGGAGAAGGAGCATCCCTGTGTGAAATTGCGAGTTTATTTGGAATTGGTGATGGTGGAACTATCCAAGTAATTACTGACAACTGGTGTTAATCGAATTTTATTAAATAATTAAGAACTATTTCTATCTAGATAATAACCGATCGAATTTTTAAAGCGATCCTCAAAACAAAAAAACAATTTCTGTACTGGCCAGACTCTTCAGAAAGAAAAAATATGGTTGCATATACCATCCATGAATTACCTCATTGTATTGGGTATGTAGATGGTACTGAAATCAAGTTGGCAGAAAAGCCGTTAGATGATCCTGAATCGTATTTTTCGCGAAAACATATTTATTCTTTAAAAGTACAGGGAATTTGTGACTATCGTCTGAGAGTCCGGAACCTAGTGTTGGGATATCCGGGAAGCGTGCACGATGCTACAATATTTAACAACTGCGAGTTATCTTTAATTCCGAAAAAAATTTTTACTGGTGCAGAATGGTTGGTTGGTGATAGTGCGTACAAATTAACTGGCACTGTAGTTACTCCTTTCAGAACAAATGCGACGGAAAGAAGTATAAAAGAACGCACTGATTTTAATAAAACTTTGAGTCGTTACCGAATAAGGATTGAACACTGCTTTGGTATAATTAAAGAGCGTTTTAATAGCCTAAAAGAGTTAAAAATACAAATAAAAAACAAGTCATCTATTAAACGTGCCTGTAATTGGGTTTTGGTATGCGCCATATTGCATAATATTTTATTGGACCAGAATGAAGAAGAAATTGATTTAACATTATCCACTGGAAATCCCTGTGAGATTGAAATGGAAAATTATAACGAAGAACCTGCAAATCACTCCACAATCGAGGGAGAAGTAAAATGACGGGCACTGTTGGAATTAATTAAAGAACAAAACGCATAACGAAGTTTTATTAATATAATATTAAAACGCAATTATAACAATTAAATGCTTTTTAATTACTGTTAGTGTTAGATTTATATTTAACTTCTATTTCATATTTTTTAATTCTTTCTTCGCTTTCAATTTGAAGTTTTCTTATTTCTAAATCTTGTTCTAGCTTGGCTTTTTTCATTTTAATTTCATTTTCGGATATTTCCCTTTCAATGTCAAATTTTTTTACTTCTATTTCCAATTTCTTTTCTTGTAGGGAAATTAGCATAGAAAATGGACTCGTATTTTTCGATTTTGGAGTCCTTTTTGGAATTGTTTTCATAGATTCTTTTAATGATATAGAATCAATTGATGTCTGTGAATTAAATGAAGCTTCTGGAGAACTACTTGTATTGTTTTCGGAAGTTTCAAAGAATTCTTCTTCATCAATAAAACTTGAAATTTTCTTCTTCTCCAACAACACAATCAATATCTCGATCCTCCATTGACGTCTCTATAATTATTAAAGGATTCACACCTCGTCTTTGACCAAATATTTGTTCAAGATACTTAAACATTGAACAAATTTTATCAATGTATTCTTCGACTGTTTTTTCATCCCCAGTAGCAAGAAGACCTGCACCAGTTTGATTTCTCCAATTGAGTGCAGACATATAAGATGATTTAAGATGTCTCATTTTATTTTTCATAGGCACCCATTCAATAGATTTTAGTATACTTGATTTTGCTGCAATTTTTTTATAAAAATATTGCGCGGTTGGTTTCTGAAAGTATTTAAGTAGTTAAAGAATAAGCAATGTACTAAAAAATAATTAACTCTTACTTCATATGATTCTATCTTGTCTATTACTTCTTCAGCAACTTCTTTCACTAAATGGAGCGTTTCCGCATCATTCCAACGATGAGTTCCATTTATTCTTTTTCGCTTTAAAGGCTTCTCTGTTGTTTTCTTTAAAAAATATGTTATTAGATCTGAATTTATTTTTTAAATGTAAACTTACCTCCGCCATTTATTTACAAATGTATACATAAATCTTTTTGCACGAATTAATGAAAACCCCTTTTTTTAAAGGCACTTATTTGCGAAATTATAAATTTGTTAAGATTTTTTCTATCCCGTTTAAAAAAAATTGACAAATGAAAATAATTTTTAATTTTATTTATCAAATGCACAACTAAACAATTCAAGTTTGCCAGCAAAGAATAAAAAGAAATTGGGGCTTGTCAGTTGGTACGTAAAGGAGTTGTCATTCGGTACCTAACTCTAAGTATGTATTGGTAGAATTTTTGTATTAGTATTGGAGCTCCAACCACTTTCACCACACTTTCCAAAAATACGTACTTGCATAAAATCGTACATACAAATTTTAGGAAAAATAAATAACATTTAAATTTCTACATTCGCAGATTTTTAAATTTATTTTGCCCACATCTAATCAGTAAACATTTAATAAATATATTTTTCGGACTTAAAATCTCTTTTTTTTTGCAAAAAAATAAGTTTATTTTAAATAATTTTTTCATTTTCAATACCAAAATATACAACTTTGTTTTGACAATTTTAATTTCAACACACAAAAATTAATTGTCAAAAAAATTAAAAAAATATTTTTTTAGTTTGTAAAAAATAAAAATATTTGTCGAGTAAATTTATTTGGGTTTTGCAAATGAATTTCAATACAATTTTAAAAATTTAATTTTCCAGAGTGGAAAAATGCACAGATTGCACAGTTTGCCTGACTTTTAATCGTTTACATGAGTACCCTTAATGTATTTTGTTTTTGAAAATATTTTTATTTAGCACTGAGAAACAAAGAATATAAAGAAATTGGGGCTTGTCAGTTGGTACGTAAAGGAATTGTCATTCGGTACCTAACTCTAAGTATGTATTGGTAGAATTTTTGTAAAGTGTGGCAATTAGAGTGGCTTTTATTAATTTTTTAATATTTTTAAAGTCTTGGTCCTTTTTACAATACGTTTTACTGCAACTAGGCTTGCTGTAACACCCACTTATTCTTTAATTTTTGCTGCAGAATCACTTAAATTGGAGGCAGATTTTATGAAATGTTTTCTGTCCGCTTTTTTTAGGACTCCATATGTACGTGCATTAATGTTTTCATAATATTTAGACTGTTTTCTTATAAAATTGCGAATAACATTCTGAATTTGCACAATTTTTTTGCCAAATTCCCGTGATTTTCGCAAATCAGACCATTTTAACATTCAAACATTTCCTTCACATTTGCAGTCTATTCTATTTCGAAAATTCATTAAAAACTTTCATTACAGTGATTTCTAAACCAAATTTTAATAACTTTAAAGCATTCCTTTTTATATATATGACAAAGGCACCCAAAACTCCTTATAGTTGAATTTGCCTTTTTGAGCTAATAAATACACTTTCAAATTATCTATTAAGACCTTAAATAGCGATTCTTTAGAATATTTGTCAATGACCGTGCTTACACCTATAAAATTATGGTAAAATACCAAAAAAAGTACAAATACTAAAAAGAAGTACATTTGAGACTTCTTTAGGGGTTATGCAGTTAAAAGTACAATTACTAAAAAAATGTACACATACTGCTAAAAACACTTCGTCTGGCAAACCTAGGTGGAAAGGACGTTCCCCGAAATAATTTTTTTGTATTGGATAATGTGAAAGGAATAATTGGCTATTGATACAAGTCCCATTGCCGTCCAAAAATTTAATTTTTTACGTGGTAGGAATGCTGAAACAAAATTAGTTGGCACATTTCTCAGCAGCTTTGTTCAAAAACTAACACGTAGACTGAAAAAATTATTTACAGAAATTAGAAAGTCTTATGTAATTATTATCCTTCTGCTCCAATATCGTTACTATTTTAACAAATTTAATTATTAATAAAATTTTAAGTTATACCAGCTACTTTGGGTTTCAAAGTACCCATTTTTTATTTTTAAAACTACACCGAATTTCGCCCCACTGTACGATTCGGCATTGGTATATCTGCAATATCTAAAAGAAATCTATAAATTTGATTTTATGATTCTAGTATCAATATTACAGACAATTTAAAAAAGAGTTGAAGAGTTTATGTATTTTAATTAAATCAGAATGATGCATTTTCAACCAAAAATTCCTCGTACACACATTTTTATACAAACAGGAAGCTGCGGGTCCAATTTTATGTTTTTAGGTTTTAGGATAGAAAATTGTGTTTAATTTTACGTTTATATATTCCATATTATAGAAAACTCAAAAAGTACCAGTTAAGGTACGAAAAATATAAAAAGATATCTTTTATTTAATTTCAAGTTCATAAGTTCAATATTCTAGAAAATTCAAAAAGTACCAATTAAAAAACGAAAAAGGACCAGAAAATACTCCAATTTAAATTTTCATTCACTCAAGTCCCTGATTGCTTAAAATTACCAAAGGGTGCTCTTTTATAGATTCTCATAAACTCCTGCTTAATGGTTCAATATTATACAAAAATTCAAAAAGTACCTTTTGAAGAAGGAAAAAGTACCAAAAAGTCCCCTTTTATAGGTTCTCACATAACCTGGGCTCTACATGCTTAATTTCATGTCTCTAGGTTCAATATTATAGAAAATTCAAAAAGTACCTTTTGAAAAACGAAAAAGTTCCCTATTATAGATTCTCATTTACTTCAGGCTCAACATGTTTAATTTAATTTTTCTAGGTTCAATTAAATAGAAAACCCAAAAAGTACAGTCGAAGGACGAAAAAGTACCAAAAAGTCCCATTTTATAGATTCTCATTTACTACTGGCTCTACATGCTTAATTTCTAACGGTCCCCAAAAATTTAGTTTGGGATTCCTACTAATCTCCGAGATAGGCCCTATCTACAAAAACATTTAGATAATAAAGGTAAAAAGTCTAATTTATCTATTTTCATATACGCCATTGTCAACTATCATAACAACTGATAGGTTTCACTATTAAACAATTTGTTTATTTACTACAAATAAATCGCGTTGATAGAAACAAACTTTTCAATTTCAATAGTTTTTTGCTTCTCCTGTAAAATTTTAAAAATGTCAGATAGGGCCGTTTGCGGTTACGGTAGCGATATGTACATTTCATACATTTTTTTAAAGATACATGGACATTTTTGGTCATAAAATTTTTCCAAATGGGAGACTATGGGAAAAATCTTATAAAATTAAAATGCAATTACTCTATTATAGAAAATTCAAAATGTATAATTTGATGAACTAAAAACTACAAAAATCTCCCTCTATAAATTCTCATTTCATAAGGACCGCGTGTCATGTGTTCCGGTTCTCCACTATAGAAAATTCAACAGGTACCATTTGAAGAATGAATATGTAGTAAAGAGTCCCTACTTGCAGAGTATTATTCAGTCAGGACTGAAATTTATTAATTTGTTTATTAGCTGAACAGTTATAAAGGGCCAAAATCAGCTTTGTTACACAGTTTATGTGTGTGAAAAATATGAGTGTGAAAAATACAATTTTTTAATAGTTGTTTAAATATTTTTTATTATTATATACAACGCGCCGTTTCCATTCTTTAAGGGGGTTATTTTATAAATCCCTTCCCCTCACTTCATTTCTCATATAAATTGTTTTTGTATTTTAAAAAATTTGTATAAAAATATTTTCAAAATAAGGGGGTAAATGTTTTTTAAGACTATGTTTTAAAAATCCAAATTTTAAGTTGTTGTATATTTTTTAGTATTGTAATTCCATTGTTGGAGAAATTTATTTCATTTTAGTTTATTTTTATTCTACACAAAACAAAATACAACCCTGATCAGCTGCCGACGCGTCAAAAGTTAAAAGTTGCTGAACTGTGTGTTGTGTACTTCCACCTTTAAGTTGCGTAGCTGTCAACAGCAGTTGAACGCAAAGTATTGTATGTGTTTGAGCCAAGGACCTAAAATAACTGTTATAAAAATTTTAGAAATCAAAAAAAAAATTGCCCCTTTTTAAGAAATAT